TTGCGATTGACGTAGAGTGACTTTTCTTTGCAACATACATACACATCACGCCGGTTAACAGTCAAGATGATATTTTCTGGGCCAAGGGAGTCTTAATAGAATGTCTCAAACTTGGATATTAAATGGAATCAGTAGGATAATATTAATAATCAAGGTTAAGCAGGGAGGTGGTTTCTTTTTTTCTGTCTTTGTTATCCCAGGAAGAGGAGCAATATGAGGCAAGGTTGGACATGAACAGAGAGAAGACTCGTAGGGAGACAGCAGGACTGCCACGTCGCTTCTGTAAGAAGTATGTCATAATAACACTTCTTATTATTGGGGTATAAAATTGTATGGCCCGATCCAGGGTCGGCAGTTGAAATTAAATCTTTTTAAACGACAGACATTTCTCCTGTACTTTCTTCTGAAAAAACTGAACACATCAGGACTCTCCAAGTACACCTGTTTTCTGTAGTGTGATGAGCTCTGAAACCTGACTGAAACTCAAATAAACCATTCCTTTGCAGCTGATCAGTTAGCGGTTTTACAACTAATCTTTTAAATATATGTTTTTTCTTTTTCTTTTTTTTTTTTTTCACAAAGGGAAGGTTGGAGATAAGCTACAAAAACTTGGTCAAATCACAGTTTAATGACTTCCACCTTAAAGGTCAATTCAAAGTGTACCCACTTGATTTCTAACATCTGGGATAGGCTCCAGTAAAGAAAAAGCATGGAGGCAGTTTCTCAGTGTGCTTTATTGATGTTACCTTAGCCATCATAACAAAAATGGTTTAAATCAGATTACTGCCACTAATAATGACCAAAAGACCATGTACACAGCATCATCTGGAATCATTCCCTTGTACTGATCAACTAACTATTCAGCAATTTAGAAACATGAATTTGATAAGATAACCCCTTGTTCAAATTTCCTACTCTGCCGTGCATGCTAGAAAGCCATCAGAAACACCAATGACCATAACACTAAAAATGTATAATTAATCATGTCATGCCATCAGTCATGTGGCTGCCGATGCTACAACTAAACGGTCTCTCTCTCGGCCCCATGTGAACCCCTACGTCTGACACTTTAACCTTATTATTATTATTATTGTCATCATTTTTTTTTTTTTTTTATAAAAGCTGCAAACTGTTTGTCCTGTCCTATGAGTCTTAAGTAATCTGTTTTAGTTTATTAAAATATTTTACTTGTTTTACGTCTAATTTTACAACGAAAGGGTTTCTCTGGTGTGTGAAATCGCTTTTTTCCATTTGCACCACTGTTTACAAGTTTAGGTTCAGAGTTTAACAACGGTTTCCGCCATTTACCATCATCTTCATTGATGCTGCCTTCAGTTTCAGATCCAGATTCTGATGAAGGTCTGTGCAAATTATAATTATCAACGCTGCTGCTGCTTGTGCTTGTGCTTGTGCTGCTGCTACTACTTTCCGTTTCAGATCCAGATTCTGATGAAGGTCCATGCAAGTTATAATTATCAATGCTGCTGCTGCTTTCCGTTTCAGATCCAGATTCTGATGAAGATTCGTGCAAGTTATAATTATCAATGCTGCTGTCTTCAGTTTCAGAGCCAGGTTCTGATGAAGATCCGTGCAAGTTATAATTATCAATGCTGCTGTCTTCAGTTTCAGATCCAGATTCTGACAGAGACTGATGCAGGTTAGAATTTTTACTCTTGCCATCTTCAGTTTCAGGTTCAGAAGCAGACAATGGCTCCTGCCAATAATTATCACCATCCACAGTACCATCTTTAGTCTCGGTGAAGTCTGAAGCCTGTAAATTAGTATTCTGTGGTAAACAGCTACTGTGATAAGAGTTCCTAGCCTTTTTGCTTCCTTCATCGTCCTCAGTTTCTGTTTTCATTTGTTTACCTGATCCTCTGGTTTGTGTCTGTGCTTCCATGTTTTTGAGAGGCGGGCCTTGATGAGGTTGTGGGGACTGCGGTTTCTTTTCATCATTTTCACTCTTCACATGAACAGAAGTGAGCAGGAACCCAGTGATATCAGCCTCCTTTATCCCATTAAGATTCACTTCAACCTCTTTGCTATTTATGTGATGTTCCTCCTGCTCCTCCTTTATTTGGCGTTCTTTGTGTTCGTCTTTTAAGTGGCATTCTTCCTGCTCCTCCTTTTCAATGCGCTCCTGCTGATTTATTATACGACGCTCCTCCAGATCCATCTCTATATGACGCTCCTCCAGCTCCGTCTCTATACGACGCTCCTCCACCTCGACCTTTATACGATGCTCTTCCAGCTCCATCTTTATACAACACTTCTCCTGCTCCTCCTCTATATGACGCTCCTCCAGCTCCATCTTTATACAACGCTCCTCCAGCTCCATCTTTGTGGGCCCTTCTTCCTGTTTTTTCTTTAGCTGGAGATGATCTATGACCCGCTGTTTCAGACCAGCATTTAATTGAGGTGGAGCATCTTGGGCATCTGCATTGAACACATATGTGGATAACGGATGAGTGTGTGTCTACAGTTTTAATATTATTTTGAAAATAAAAGGACACATTTCTATTTTTGGAAAGATTTTCAAATTACAAATTCTCCAAGAACAGCATTTATTTTTATTAAAACTGGTGAAAAGGTCTCAGTTCCACTTCACAGCTGATGGACCCATTTGACAGTTGTTGTATTATTTACCTTTCTTTAGTTTAAATCACAAAGTAGAGAGCAGTTTCAACAGTCAATTGTAGTAATTTATGGATAAAATAATGCCCAGCCATGTGTAAGTTAGTGCCATCAAATATTAAGTTATTGTGCCATCTAATAGTTTTTACATAATTCTGTGGGAATAATGGTAATTTAATAGGCTACAATAAAATTTAAAATAATTTAATACTTACTTCTCCTGACTTGTGTTAACACTGATGTTGCTCGTGGAGGTACAAATACAAGCATTTTGAGAATTCTGGGGTCAGGTGGTTGAAGGTTAGTCACTGGACGCATCCCCACTCCGTTTGGCAATCTTGGATACGGAAATCTGAAAAACAATAAGCCATCGAGATATTCAGAGTTATACCCCACAACGTGTGAGACTAATGGTTCTTATAAATACTAATTTTGTGTTTGCGCATGGTTCTGTTTTCTGTTGGGCTCAACTGATCCAAAAACAGATACTAGCCATGGAATTTAATCTTTAAAATGTATACATGACTATATACAAAAACATACAAATTTGGACAAGGAAAGACTTACCTGTTTGCGCCACTCAAAGTGGCGCCAAAGGCAGCTGGACCTATGACTTGTAACGGTTTTTCCTTTGTAGCCAATGATGTCATCACAACTCTCTCATAGCTGGAGGAAACAACAGAAACATCAAAATGTTAAATTCTACATGACAAGTGCTGGTGGCATTAACAATGAGGAGCATATCAACAGATGGTTTATTTTAAACCTACAACAATGAACGGCACAAATATAAATATGTTTCATTTCATGCCATTGGTTGTGTGTACAGACGCTGGAAGAAAAAGTCCAAACTGACTGTATCAAAGTTTGTTAGTTCTGAGCTAGTGGCAACAAAATGCAGCATTACATTTATCTTAAAACCAAACTAGCAGCCTAAATATATGCAAAACATTTATAAATTTAGACATGGAAGGACTTGCCTGTTGAAAGAACGAGCGGTATCAGTGGTAGCTGGGGCTGGGACTTGTGAAGGCTTTTCCTTTGTGGGCGCTGATGTCATCACAACTCTCTCATAGCTGGAGGAAACAACAGAAACATCAAAATGTTAAATTCTACATGACAACTGCTGGTGGCATTAACCTTCCTCTCTGACTGTTCCTATCACATGAATCGATCAAATGAAACAACATTTAACCCACAACTAACACTGTTGTACAGATCAAACATCAAAGCACACATTAATTTGTGAAGCTTGAACCCTTTTTAACATTGATAAATACACATTTTTAAAATTACACCGCTGAACAGCACAAAGTTAATAATGTGTTTTTTCATTTCACACCATTTGTCTTAGAATGAAGTTGGTTTGGAAACATATTCAGCGATGCTTCATCTCCTGCTTTGCGTTTGTGTGGGCGCCCCATGCTAGCAGTTTCCAAGCATTTTTCCCCCCTTTTCATTGAGGGGGGGGGGGCACACTTTGGGAAGCTCTGACATAATCACAGAGTCTGGAGTACACAACAATGTTCTCATTGTAAGTGATTATAAATTCCCTTTCACATCTTTCCTTCACCTACATACTGAAGACATCAAATATATGAAGCAAGATGTATGTAATTGTGTAGCAAAGTAAAAATTGATAAATAATTCCAAATATATCTTATATTTTACATTCCTGAAAGTAGCCACCCTTTGCTTTGTAGACAGCGCTGCAAATCCTTGGCCTTCTCTTAATGAGCTTCATGATATAGTCACCTGAAATGGTTTTCACTTCACAGGTGTGCCTGCCAGGGTTCATTTGTGGAATTTCTTGCTTTCTAAATGTGGTTGGGACTACCAGTTGTGTTGTGCAGAAATCAAGTTGGTACACAGCTGACAGCCCTATTTGACAACTGTTAGAATTCATATTATGGCAAAAACTATCAGCTAAGTAAAGAGAAACAACAGTCCATCATTACTTTAAGAACAGAAGGTCATTTAGTCCAGAAAACTGCAAAAACTTTGAATGTGTTCCCAGGTGCAGTCACAAAGACCATCAAGCGCAACGAGAAAACTGGCTCGCATGAGGACCGCCCCAGGAAAGGAAGAGTCACCTTTGCTGCTGAGGATAAATTCATCCGAGTGACGAGCCTCAGAAATCACAAGTTAACTACACCCCAGGAAAATGCCACACAGAGCTCCAGTAACAGACACGTCTCTACATCAACAGTTCAGATGACACAGTGTGAATCAGGCCTTTATGGTCAAATAGCTGCTAAGAAACTACCACTAAGGAAAAGCAACAAACAGAAGAGATTTGTTTGGGCCAAGAAACACAAGGAATGGACATTAGACCAGTGTAAATCTGTGTTTTGGTCTGATTAGTCCAAATTTGAGATCTTTGGTTCCACCTGCCGTGTCTTTGTGTGATGCAGAAAAGGGGAACGAATGGTCTCTACATGCATGGTTCCCAATGTGGAGCATGGAGGAGGTGGTGTGACGGTGTGGGGATGCTTTGCTGGTGACACTATTGGGGACTTATTCAAAATTGAAGGCACACCGAACCAGCTTGGTTACCACAGCATCCTACAGTGACATGCCATCCCATCCGGTTTGTGTTTAGTTAGACTACCAATTATTTTTCAAAAGGACAAACACACCTCCAGGCTGTGCAAGGGCTATTTAAACAAGAAGGAGAGTGATGGAGTGCTGCGCCAGATGCCCTGGCCTCCACAGTCACCTGACCTAAACCCAATCAAAATGATTTGGGATGAGATGGACCGCAGACTGAAGGCAAAAGGGCCAACAAGTGTTCAGCATCTCTAAGAACTCCTTCAAGGCTGCTGGAAAACCATTTCAGGTAACAACCTGAAGAAGCAAAGGTGCCTATTTTGACGAATCTAAAATATAAACCATGTTTTAAGTTATTTCACACTTTTTCAATTATTACATAACTCCAAATGTGTTCATTCATAGTTTTGATGCTTTCAGTGAGAATCTACAATGTAAAGAGTCATAAAAATAAAGAAAAAAAACATTAAATGAGAAGGTGTGTCCAAACTTTAAACTGGTAGTGTACACATACATGAACATGTATTCATTCGTATTCAAAACATATGGAATTTCTTGACATGGAAGGACTTGCCTGTTGGCTCCATTAAAAGAATGACTGGTGCCAAAGGTAGCTGGGGCTGGGACTTGTGAAGGCTTTTCCTTTGTGGGCGCTGATGTCATCACAACTCTCTCATAGCTGGAGGAAACAACAGAAACATCAAAATGTTAAATTCTACATGACAACTGCTGGTGGCATTAACCTTCCTCTCTGACTGTTCCTATCACATGAATCGATCAAATGAAACAACATTTAACCCACAACTAACACTGTTGTACAGATCAAGCATCAAAACACACATTAATTTGTGAAACTCGAACCCTTTTTAACATTGATAAATACACATTTTTAAAATTACACCGCTGAACAGCACAAAGTTGATAATGTGTTTTTTCATTTCACACCATTGTTTCTGAGACCAGCTGTAACAATGCAGTAAAAACATGAAGTAAGATGTGCATTTTGTAGTCCATCTTCTGGAAATTGTAGTTGAAACAGTGTCAAATTATTATGCCATGCACATCAACGCAAGAGGGATGATAACCACCAAGATAAATGGGAAGGGAGAGTAGATGGGAGGAAATCAGAAGTGTTGTCTTTGAAAATGTAGTGATTTCCTTAAATTCAGCTGAAAAACTGCCCCAAGTATCCTTGCTGGCTACAGGTAAGCCAATAACTGTTCTTTGTGACAGTGCCGTTACTCGCACAGTTATCCAAAAGGAAGCTGGTGGTCATGTACTTCCATCTAACATACAAGTAAGCAGTTGCAATGGCCTTGCTGACTGTTTGCGAATGCTGCTGCGTTCCCTCCCTGAGAAGGTTGATCCAGAGACTGATCGAAACTGCTCTAACCAAGGTGTCTGTGAAGGTTCTCAGTCATCCAGGTCATCGTAGTCAAAGGAGGGTTTATATCTGGGACTCTCCACCATTTGACCTTAGAACTGAAGAAGCGTCTCGGATGAGAGGTGAAACGTCTTCAAGTAACTTAAAGAAGTCCAGACACTTTTCTTTGCAAGCTCCTTTGACTGCTCTAACAAAGACCATCATGTATCACCAAATAGGGCAGAAGGTGGACAACTGCACAGATGACCTATGATGACACTGCAGACAGCACTGGGGTGTATTTAGGGCTGCCACGATCAGTCGACAAGTCACGATTACATCGACTAATTTAATAGCCGACGCGTTGTTTGAAGCTTTGTAAGATCCTGAAAGATGCAGGAATAAGTAGTAGGATTTCAGAGTGTAAGAACGGCCTGAAACAGAAGGTTGGAGCAATGCATGTACAAGGATGCCAGCTACCATTAAACGCCGAAGAAGAAGAAGAAGAAGAAGCTGGCTCCGGTATTGTAGCCGTGTACAAATTCAGGAGCCGCATCTTTCGGTGGCTGCATTTGTAGGCTCATTACGCTATTGCGACGCAACGAAGGCTGTCCAAATTCGTAGACACATAGCACGGCCCAGCCAATTCCAATTTCCAACAATGGCAGCAGCTATTTAGTTTTAATATTACTAAACTTTTAGCATATTTTCAAGCAAGAATGTAGCTGTGTAACCTTCAAATATCTGCTCGGTTTATCAAGACATCACATTTTTGCATAAGTGCTCCGACGTTTTCGGAGACGTCCGTTACCCTCCAGCTCGATAGCTAGCCGGGGGACTCAAGGCTCACTAGAGCTGGTGAGAACCGCAAACCCCCTGTGGTCTTTCACTACTCAGGTTAAACATGATATATAAGTCACTTAGATAACAAAAATGTTACTGTTTGGCTTTCTTCAGTGTTTTATTTGTTCCTGAGTAAATCAGTTTGGCTGAGATTAAAGTTACAGTTTTCACACAGCTGAATAAACGTCAAACAGAAAACTGATTAAACAAATGTGAGAATTTATTCCAGTGTCCTATTATATTTTAGTGAGCAAGGAGCAGACGGCTGAGTTTATTAAACACCACTGAGACAATCTGCAAATTCCATTAAAAGTTTAATAAACTATCATCTTGTCTTTATTTTTAGTTAGACACATACCTTAGACACTTAAAGCTGTAAGCTAATGATAGTTATATAAGAGCAGATGCATGCTGGTGCAATAAGCTGTACGCTTTATGTCCAGTGGATGCATAATCTGATTAGTCGACTAATTGCAAAAATAATCGGTGACTAGTCGACTATCAAAATAATCGTTTGAGGCAGCCCTAGGTGTAATGCAATAATGATGGTGGAAAATACTAAGACGCTACAGTGCCACAGCTCGGAGTTAAGCCCTTTTTTAACTAATACCTAGTCAGATTGCCTCAGCACGGTTTTCAGGGTTTTCCATTAGATCATATTACTTGGTAGCAAGTACTTTTTAGTACCTGCTCTCCCGGGGTTTTGAGAAACCATCCTACTCTGACAAATCGTCCTACCCGTATTATAATTTGACGGTGGCTTGTGACTAAACCCTAACCCTACCCCTAACCTAACCATAACATAACCTGAAGAAGTATTCCGAATGGGTGAGAGAAAAAGAAGTTAATGGTAAATAAATGGTAAATGGCCTGTATTTGTATAGCGCTTTACTAGTCCCTAAGGACCCCAAAGCGCTTTACACAACCAGTCATCCACCCATTCACACACACATTCACACACTGGTGATGGCAAGCTACACTTAATGTGAGTTTGGTGTTGTGCGCATGCGCCGTGTCTGCGCAGAAACATTGGGTAGGATGTTTTTTGAGGTAGGATGGATTCCCAGAACACATGGGTTTGTCACTACCCGATCCGTACCGGAAACCCAATCGGTACCCCGCATGCGCAAATCTTACGTCACCCCTTCCTCTCTTTGCCAACATTCAATATATTTGAATGATACGGTTAGCGCCCAGTTAGCTCCTAGCATTTCTCAGCAGCTCTGCCTCCTTTTCGACTACCGGGACATTTAAACAATGAATAATCCGTATCTGCAACCAATTTTTGCTTTTTTCCTCAACAGAGAGCGTCCACCGATTGAACAACAGCGCCGTAAAATAAGAAGAATGGTGCCTAATGACAGAGTTAATAATACAGACTTTATAATATGTCACGTGAAGATTCAGCAGCCAGATGAAGTGTTTACTGGCAATTGACAGTGATAGTGGACATCATCACTATTCCAACAATCCTCTCCTCACAGACAAGCATAAACACACTCAATTATCACTAAATCAAATTTAACACACGTTTGTAATGACACTAATTCAGTTTACAATAGGGTTCATTCGCTAAGTCAGCAGGTGGCGGTATCCTCGTACACTGGGGAGTACACTGCCATTAAACGAACAGAAGAAGAAGAAAACCCCTGCACATGCGCGGTACGGATCGGGTAGACCCAATTTGTACGGTCCGACTTTGCACATGCGCAGTAACGATCTGTCACTATCTTTTTATTTTTGTCTACATTATATTAAATGTTTCATTATCGGAAACATTTTAAGAGATACTTGTTATTCTTAACATCTTAACAGATACTCTGACCTGTAACTATCGTAAAATGCTTCGACCGGAAGTAGACACCTTTCGCGCATGCAGGGTACGGATCGGGTAGTGACTGTCGCTACCCGATCCGTACCAGAAACCCGATCGGTACCCCGCATGCGCAAATCATACGTCACTTCCTCTCTTTGCCAACATTGCGACATTCAATATATTTGAATGATACGGTTAGCGCCCAGTTAGCTCCTAGCATTTCTCAACAGCTCTGCCTCCTTTTCGACTACCGGGACATTTAAACAATGGATCATCCGTATACAAACAAATTCACGCTTCTCTCCTCAACAGAGAGCGTTCCCCGATTGAACAACAGCGCCGTAAAATAAGAAGAATGGCGCCTAATTACAGAGTTAATAATACAGACTTTGTAATATGTCACGTGTAGATTCATCAGCCAGATGAAGTGTTTACTGACAATTGACAGTGTAAGCGGACATCATCATCACTATTCCAATCAATCTTCTCCACACATGCAAGCATAAACACACTCGACTATCACTAAATCAAATTTAACAGATGTTTGTAATTACGCTAATTCAGTTTACAATAGGGTTCATTCGCTTGGTCAGCAGGTGGCAGTATCCTCTTATACTGGGGAGTAAACTGCCATTAAACGAACAGAAGAAGAAAATCCCTGCACATGTGCGGTACGGATCGGGTAGACCCAATTTGTACGGTCCGACTTTGCACATGCGCAGTAAGGATCGGGGAGTCCTGATCCGTAACTATCTTTTTATTTTTTATTTTTGTCTACATTATATTGAAATGCTTCATTATTGGAAACATGTTAAGAGATACTTATTATTCTTAACAGATACTCTGACCCGTAACTATCGTAAAACGCTTCGACCGGAAGTAGACACCTTTCGCGCATGCGGGGTACCGATCGGGTTTCCGGTACGGATCGGGTAGTGACAGTGACAGCTTTTTTTTTATTTTTATTTTTTTATTAACAATTGGAACAATACAGTCACAAACAAAATAACACATTATAGTGCAAATGAACTCTCGTGGAGGATTAAAAAAAAATAAAAAATAAAATAAAGAACACAGTCAATACAACAAAACTAACAGCAAGGATATGGGGGGAGGGGGCTAGACAAAAGATCCACAGTATTAACGGGGAAGAAATTAAAAGGAGCACAGGTTGATACACAATATAGGTAATAATCAAAACAGTAGCAAATGGGAAATGTCATCATAGATTGCGGCAAATCTGCTTGACTTCAGTTTTTTAAGTGACATGAAATAATGTTTAAAGTCATTGATGAACCATGTAAAGGATGGTTTTCTATTCCTCCATTTACAACAATGTATATGGTATTTACCTAACAGGATGACAATGTTAATCACAGTAGAGACAGATGGATGTTGTTTAGCCATATAGAAAATAATATCAGAAATACTAAACTGGGGAATATCGTTGATCTTGAGGGATAACCAGCTGTGTAGTTCTAACCAAAAGGCAGCTGACACAGGACATGAGAAAAACAAATGGTGTAATGTTTCACAGGCTGAATCACAAAATGCACACTGGTTAACCTCAAATTTAAACCTCCTCTTTAAAAATTCAGACACAGGATATATATTATTAATTATCTTGAAATTAGTTTCTTTTACTTTTGGGGAGACA